CGCGGTAAAACAACTGTCGCTACCGGCCATGGAGCGAATTACGGCCGGTAGCGAGAGATCTGCTCCGATGACTGCAGTGAGGGCCCGGCGCTGTGTCACCCATGCGGGGCAAGCCGCCAGCGTGTGCTGGGCCGAATCCTCACTGCAGTCGCAGTGGTGGCAGGCGGGACTCGATTCCCTCCTAGCGACCGAGTACAGGTACTTTCCGAAGCAACCGTGCCCGGAAAGCACCTGCGTCAGCCGGAAGGAAAGGGTCCCGTGCTGCCGCCCTGCCCACTCAGCGATGAGCGGCTGGAGAGCCTAAACGGCGGCGAAACCAGCGCGTGGAGTCCCCAACCGGAGCGACCATCTGACCATGGTGGCTCGGCGAGAGGCTTCGCGCCACTCGCGCACGTCTTCGGGCGGAGGGCGAAATCCGCTCTCCGCCCGGAAGTCAGCCACTCGCCGATAAACTTCGGCGAGCACCTCCGCCTCCAAATCCCACGGGGGTGTTCCGGCCAAGGCGCAAGCCGCCTCGGTGGACACCGTGCGGTATCCGCGTATGGCTCTGACCGCCAATATCCTCTGGGGGCGCCAGAGATGCGCCCTATTCGGGGCGGTCAGAGCCGCCACCCACACCGGTGAACCATAAAGCGCCATGGACCGGACAACCCCTGCGTACAGCCGCCTCGTGGGAACACTGGCTCCGCCCAAATTGGGCAAAAGTCGCCCTAGGGCGGAGGCAGTTTATGTAAGCGTACGCGTGCAAACCGCGTTCGGCAATGTCATCATATTTATAAAATGAATACAAGACGTCAGTCACACTCCGGCCCTCTCCCCGGGTTAACATGTCTTAATAGACATTCGCGTAATTGGTTTTATACCACTGTATAACTGTGTATCTACCTATGTAATTCTATTGGACTCTAAATACATAACAATCAAAGACATTTACAAGTTTCCATTTAAACCTCAAACCCACTTAGCTTAACACCAATAACAAATATCCCTTAAATAAATACATCTCAAAATTGGTGAACCCGACGTGATTTGTTTAACGGTGTCGTTTGCGGTGCGGTACGAACAATAGTGGAGGTGACTCAATTTTAAGTTCCTGGGAGAGTGAGACAATATCGTTCATAGTATACAAAGATGGTAGACACTACAGCTTCGAAACTAAACTTAGTTATTGACGAGGAATCGATCGACGCGATTTCAATAACTACTAAGATTCCTGATTTTTGGCAAGATCAACCACGACTATGGTTTATTCAAGCGGAGGCAGTCCTTAAGCCTCAGAAATCGTCCGACGAGGCCAGATATCACATGGTTATTGCGAAACTTGGGAAGGATGTCATCACCCAAGTGACGGACATTTTGATAAATCCACCGGAGACCGGGAAATATGAAGTACTTAAGGCGCGACTTCTACAGATATTTGAAGAATCCCAAGGTCGTCAAATACAGAAACTCATTGGTGAAATGGAGTTGGGAGACCAAAAAACCATCTCAACTTCTACGGAAGATGCGCGACTTAGCGAGAGACAAGGTATCTGACGAAACTCTTTTGATATTATGGCGTAATCACTTGCCTATTACCGTAAGAGGAGTGTTAGCAGTTTCAGACTCAAAAGAGATGAATACCTTAGCTTTGATCGCCGATAAAGTTATGGAGACTTCAAAACCGATGGGAGCAGTATCTCAGATTGAGCAAGTCAGCTCAAAGCAGCCAATGGGAGATTTTAGCCAGATCGTAGCGGAAATACGGACGCTAGGAGAAAGAATGTCGAGGTTGGAGACCAATCGAGGAAGATCGAGATCGAGAAAACAGTCGTACCAGTACAGCGGTAGATCGACATTACGAGGACGCCGTTCCTTTTCGCGGAATGGGCTTAGCCCGTCGCATCCAAACTGGCTGTGTAGTTATCACTTTCGCTATAAGCACAATGCATTGCAATGCGAGATAACTCTAGAACTAAGGATAACCTACAAGGACAGCGGAACCAGCCGGAAAACTAGGTTCGGTGCAGGCGACGGCGGACGAGTGCACCGGCAGTGTCAACTACCGCCTCAGCGTGATGGACTACAAAACAGGGTTACAATTTTTAGTAGACAGTGGTGCAAATGTTTCAGTCTTTCCGCGTAGACTTATTAACAAGTGCGAGTTTAAAGAAAATGAATAACATAGACTATATGCAGCAAAGGGAACCGAGATAAAGACTTATGGTGTACACATTTTAGACTTAGACTTAAATTTAAGACGATGTTTTAGATGGATGTTTATTATAGCTGACGTTCGACAACCTATTATAGGTGCAGATTTTTTGGTTAAATATAAATTGTTAATTGATTTGAGTGGACGTAAAACAGTGTTTCAAGCGTTTCTCAACCCACTCTAAAGACTGTAGATGATGCACACCCTTATTTTGATTTATTGCAGAAGTACCCTGATATATCTAAGCCTTATTTCTTCAAGGAAAATGCCAAGCACAATGTTTTTCATACGATTGAGACCACTGGAGCACCAGTACATGCGCGCGTTCGACCTTTACCACCGGACAGGACAAGCTTGAGTTTTTAGGATTCGAGGTATCGACGGACGGCATAAGGCCGTTGGACCACAAGGTGCAGGCTATCGTGAATTTCCCGAGACCCACCACCGTAGAAAAGTTAAGAAGATACCTAGGTATGATAATTTTTTATAGGTCTCACATACCCAAAGCTGCTGATGAACTAGCTGAATTACATAAATATCATAAGTCAAAGATCGAGTGGACGGTGAAGGCCGATCAAGAATTTTTGCAGACCAAAGTAAGTATAAAGAATGCAGTCTTGTTATCGCACCCAGCCACAGATTGTCCAATGATATTGATGACTGACGCGAGTAATACCAACGTTGGCGCGTCACTTCAACAACAAGAAGGTAATTCATGGAAACCATTAGGTTTTTTCTCAAAACGGTTAACTGACGCTCAGAAAAAGTATAGTACATACGATAGAGAACTCTTAGCGATTTATTTAGCGATAGTTCACTATCGATATTTAATTGAAGGCAGAGAATTAGTAATCACGACTGATCACAAACCATTGATTAATTTATTTAGTAAAATAGGTACTAACAAAGAGACTCCACGTAGAACAAGACAGATTATGTTTATTAGTGAATTTACTATTCGTTTTATTGAAGGTAAAGAAAATACTGTAGCTGATTGTTTGTCAAGAATAGAATCAATTTCGTGCCCTACAGTCATACATTTTTCAGAACTCTCAGTAGCACAGGAAACGGATGAACGGCTTGCAAAATTATTCAAAGACACTGATTGCAACATTGTGTTGAAACATATTACATTACCAAGTTCTACGAAGTCCATCCACGTTTGTTAAATGTCAGCAGATCGAGCGAGACCGTATTTAACAAAGGCATTTAGACGCGTAGCTTTTGATGCAGTTCATAATTTAAGTCATCCAGGCATTCTAGCAAAGTCATGTGTACGATGCCAGAGATCAAAGGTTTTGAAACACACAGTTTCAGATTTAGAACAGTTTCAAAATGCAGATCGTTTTTAGCACGTTTACATTGATATTATAGGATGGTCCTATTACTTCAGATGATTATAGATATTGCGTTACTATGATAGACAGGTATACAAAGTGGCCAGAGGCAATTCCGGCTAAAGATATAACAGCAGCGACCATAGCTAAAGTTTTTTATGAAAATTGGATTACTCGTTTTGGGTGTCCTGAAAGGTTAACTAGTGATCAAGGCCGACAATTTGAAAGTAGTTTAATTAAACAGTTAATGTCATTGCTAGGAATTCATAGGATTAGAAGTAGTCCGTACCATCCACAAAGTAACGGTGCCGTAGAGCGTTGGCATCGCACGTTAAAATCAGCCTTAATGGCACGCCTTAATAATAATAAGTCATGGATAGACGAATTACCAACCGTAATGTTAGGCTTACGAGCAGCGTCACGTGTTGATACAAGAGTGAGTTCGGCAGAATTAGTTTACGGAACAACCATTAGATTACCTGGTGATTTTTATCATGTTACAAATAAAGTTCAAGTAGATTCAGAAACTTACGTTTATAGATTGAGACAGATAATAAATAGTTATAAACCAGAAACTCGTGAAAATAAAGATTCGAGAAAAGTTTTTGTACACAGAGATTTAAATGATTGTCAATTTGTTTCTGTTAGGAGTGATATGGTACGCAGATCTTTACAACCACCGTATGATGGTCCGTTCAAAGTAATTAGTAGAAAAGATAAAGTTTTTACCATTAAAATCAAAGATAGAACAGTTTCAATTTCTATAGATCGTTTAAAGCCAGCATACATTTTAGATGAAAATCAAACTTGTGAACAAAATATTTCAAAGAATGACTATGAAACCAGTAATCAAACCCGCAACTTAGTTAATGATAGTTCCACTAATCCCGAGAAGCGAACTCGAGACATTGCGCAATCGAATAATGAAACATGCGATACTAAGCGGACCACATTTAGTGGTCGCGTCAGCAAATTGCCAGTCCGATTTAGATTATAAAGTAAGTTACGTAGTTAGGTACTCACTTGGTAAATTCAAAGAACGTTTAATGTTGTTTGTTTTCGCGTGATTTGTAGACCAGGCAAATCCGCACACAGATTTTTGTTGGCATTGTCAAATAGGGTGGAGATTTTAATTATTGCAGGTGATAATTACCCTTAATAAGTAGGATATATGTTACGTAAATGAACCAAGTATGAAACCATATTTTAATGACTTAAGTTAGTCAGTATAGTTATTAGATAAAATCGTATAAAAAAAAAACCACTGCGAATGATTGAACCCCAATTTTAAACTGACTTGAAATTTTTTAAAGTGTTGAGTATACAATTTTACTGTATTGTTGTTATTAGGTTAAAGTACTTTGAACTATTGATTTTATTTTGATGATATATATAATGTACAATTGTATTTAAAACTTTACCTCCTCGTTTAGCTTCATTTTAGAGCGAGAGTTGGTAATGTTATTACCATGGGCAAGAATCAAAGCAAAGAACAGAAAGAACAAATCATTATTGCACAATCAGGTGCAAATGCTTCTGGTGTAGAAGCTCGGTTAAGTCAGTTCAGTATCACCATTTCAGTTATATTGGTAATTTTAGCAATAATCATTGCGTACTTCGTTTGTAAAAAGTGTCATAAACGCACCAAGAGTTGGGTACAACGACAGGTGATGGCTATCACGTCACAGCAACGTGAACAAGGTACTATTACGCCTTCTTTACCATCGGTACATTCAGTACCCAAAGTTAAAATTGTAAGTGTATAAAAAACACATTATTTTTTCCCATGTAACGTAATTTATTTGTATTTTTTATTGTATTTTGATTTCATACCAGTGTTTTTACTATATATATGTCGGGTGTTGCATATTTTTTAGTTTTTATTTTGTATCGCCTACTTTACTTACATATGTTTCTGAACGTAAACTAGCTGTCATCAAGGAGTTGTCAAAAAGAAGGTGAGAAGAAAAAAGATCGTTAAAAGTGCTCCTAAGGTATAATTAAAAATATAATTGAGACAGTTTACGAAAAAAAAAAAAAACTCGCAGACCAGAATGTACGAGGTTGGAGACAAACGATGAGTTCTCCCATAAAGCAGCATGGGAAAATTTAGCAGATCGTACCGAAATACAGCGCTAGAGAAATCGAGACAATGTCAACGTGACGACACGGTAGATCCATTACATGCGCCGTTCGGAATGGGCTTAGCCCGTCGCATCCAAACTGGCTGTGTAGTTATCACTTTCGCTATAAGCACAATGCATTGCAATGCGAGATAACTCTAGAACTAAGGATAACCTACAAGGACAGCGGAACCAGCCGGAAAACTAGGTTCGGTGCAGGCGACGGCGGACGAGTGCACCGGCAGTGTCAACTACCGCCTCAGCGTGATGGACTACAAAACAGGGTTACAATTTTTAGTAGACAGTGGTGCAAATGTTTCAGTCTTTCCGCGTAGACTTATTAACAAGTGCGAGTTTAAAGAAAATGAATAACATAGACTATATGCAGCAAAGGGAACCGAGATAAAGACTTATGGTGTACACATTTTAGACTTAGACTTAAATTTAAGACGATGTTTTAGATGGATGTTTATTATAGCTGACGTTCGACAACCTATTATAGGTGCAGATTTTTTGGTTAAATATAAATTGTTAATTGATTTGAGTGGACGTAAAACAGTGTTTCAAGCGTTTCTCAACCCACTCTAAAGACTGTAGATGATGCACACCCTTATTTTGATTTATTGCAGAAGTACCCTGATATATCTAAGCCTTATTTCTTCAAGGAAAATGCCAAGCACAATGTTTTTCATACGATTGAGACCACTGGAGCACCAGTACATGCGCGCGTTCGACCTTTACCACCGGACAGGACAAGCTTGAGTTCTTAGGATTCGAGGTATCGACGGACGGCATAAGGCCGTTGGACCACAAGGTGCAGGCTATCGTGAATTTCCCGAGACCCACCACCGTGGAAGAGTTAAGAAGATACCTAGGTATGATAAATTTTTATAGGTCTCACATACCCAAAGCTGCTGATGAACTAGCTGAATTACATAAATATCATAAGTCAAAGATCGAGTGGACGGTGAAGGCCGATCAAGAATTTTTGCAGACCAAAGTAAGTATAAAGAATGCAGTCTTGTTATCGCACCCAGCCACAGATTGTCCAATGATATTGATGACTGACGCGAGTAATACCAACGTTGGCGCGTCACTTCAACAACAAGAAGGTAATTCATGGAAACCATTAGGTTTTTTCTCAAAACGGTTAACTGACGCTCAGAAAAAGTATAGTACATACAATAGAGAACTCTTAGCGATTTATTAAGCGATAGTTCACTTTCGATATTTAATTGAAGGCAGAGAATTAGTAATCATGACTAATCACAAACCATTGATTCATTTATTTAGTAAAATAGGTACTAACAAAGAGACTCCACGTAGAACAAGACAGATTATGTTTATTAGTGAATTTACTACTGAGATTCGTTTTATTGAAGGTAAAGAAAATACTGTAGCTGATTGTTTGTCAAGAATAGAATCAATTTCGTGCCCTACAGTCATACATTTTTCAGAACTCTCAGTAGCACAGGAAACGGATGAACGGCTTGCAAAATTATTCAAAGACACTGATTGCAACATTGTGTTGAAACATATTACATTACCAAGTTCTACGAAGTCCATCCACGTTTGTTAAATGTCAGCAGATCGAGCGAGACCGTATTTAACAAAGGCATTTAGACGCGTAGCTTTTGATGCAGTTCATAATTTAAGTCATCCAGGCATTCTAGCAAAGTCATGTGTACGATGCCAGAGATCAAAGGTTTTGAAACACACAGTTTCAGATTTAGAACAGTTTCAAAATGCAGATCGTTTTTAGCACGTTTACATTGATATTATAGGATGGTCCTATTACTTCAGATGATTATAGATATTGCGTTACTATGATAGACAGGTATACAAAGTGGCCAGAGGCAATTCCGGCTAAAGATATAACAGCAGCGACCATAGCTAAAGTTTTTTATGAAAATTGGATTACTCGTTTTGGGTGTCCTGAAAGGTTAACTAGTGATCAAGGCCGACAATTTGAAAGTAGTTTAATTAAACAGTTAATGTCATTGCTAGGAATTCATAGGATTAGAAGTAGTCCGTACCATCCACAAAGTAACGGTGCCGTAGAGCGTTGGCATCGCACGTTAAAATCAGCCTTAATGGCACGCCTTAATAATAATAAGTCATGGATGGACGAATTACCAATCGTAATGTTAGGCTTATGAGCAGCGTCACGTGTTGATACAAGAGTGAGTTCGGCAGAATTAGTTTACGGAACAACCATTAGATTACCTGGTGATTTTTATCACGTTACAAATAAAGTTCAAGTAGATTCAGAAACTTACGTTTATAGATTGAGACAGATAATAAATAGTTATAAACCAGAAACTCGTGAAAATAAAGATTCGAGAAAAGTTTTTGTACACAGAGATTTAAATGATTGTCAATTTGTTTCTGTTAGGAGTGATATGGTACGCAGATCTTTACAACCACCGTATGATGGTCCATTCAAAGTAATTAGTAGAAAAGATAAAGTTTTTACCATTAAAATCAAAGATAGAACAGTTTCAATTTCTATAGATCGCTTAAAGCCAGCATACATTTTAGATGAAAATCAAACTTGTGAACAAAATATTTCAAAGAATGACTATGAAACCAGTAATCAAACCCGCAACTTAGTTAATGATAGTTCCACTAATCCCGAGAAGCGAACTCGAGACATTGCGCAATCGAATAATGAAACATGCGATACTAAGCGGACCACATTCAGTGGTCGTGTCAGCAAATTGCCAGTCCGATTTAGATTATAAAGTAAGTTAATTAGTTAGGTACTTACTTGGTTAATTCAAAGAACGTATAATATTTTTTTGGTTTTCGCGTGATTTGTAGACCAGGCAAATCCGCACACAGAATTTTGTTGGCATTGTCACATATGGTGGAGATTTTAATTATTGCAGGTGATAATTACCCTTAATAAGTAGAATATATGTTACGTAAATGAACCAAGTATGAAACCATATTTTAATGACTTAAGTTAGTCAATATAATTATTAGATAAAATCGTATAAAAAAAAAACCACTGCGAATGATTGAACCCCAATTTTAAACTGACTTGAAATTTTTAAAGTGTTGAGTATACAATTTTACTGTATTGTTGTTATTAGGTTAAAGTACTTTGAACTATTGATTTTATTTTGATGATATATATAATGTACAATTGTATTTAAAACTTTACCTCCTCGTTTAGCTTCATTTTAGAGCGAGAGTTGGTAATGTTATTACCATGGGCAAGAATCAAAGCAAAGAACAGAAAGAACAAATCATTATTGCACAATCAGGTGCAAATGCTTCTGGTGTAGAAGCTCGGTTAAGTCAGTTCAGTATCACCATTTCAGTTATATTGGTAATTTTAGCAATAATCATTGCGTACTTCGTTTGTAAAAAGTGTCATAAACGCACCAAGAGTTGGGTACAACGACAGGTGATGGCTATCACGTCACAGCAACGTGAACAAGGTACTATTACGCCTTCTTTACCATCGGTACATTCAGTACCCAAAGTTAAAATTGTAAGTGTATAAAAAACACATTATTTTTTCCCATGTAACGTAATTTATTTGTATTTTTTATTGTATTTTGATTTCATACCAGTGTTTTTACTATATATATGTCGGGTGTTGCATATTTTTTAGTTTTTATTTTGTATCGCCTACTTTACTTACATATGTTTCTGAACGTAAACTAGCTGTCATCAAGGAGTTGTCAAAAAGAAGGTGAGAAGAAAAAAGATCGTTAAAAGTGCTCCTAAGGTATAATTAAAAATATAAGTTTAAATCCGCTTCGAATCATTTGTAACCATCCCCACATCTTTTGGGGGCTCGTCCGGGATCTAACAAGTATTGGTTTGAAGAGGATTGAAGAAAGATGTATAATTACAAGAAGTAAGTCATTCGAAATCATAATAACTCAAACCGTATGACAGTTGAAAAATACAGTGTCTGTTTTACCGACCGATCTATGATTCAAAATATTGCCATACTACAAAATACAGATGACAGTGGTAGAATAGTAGAAAATGTTGCCACTTTATGATACTGGATCGGACTTGGTAGTTTTTTTTTTGATGATTCTTGGGGAACTATTATAAGTTGCATTTTTTTAAAAGAATATTATTTGATGACTTTAAGAAGATTATCGTTTTGTACTATAACAAAGAAAAATATTCGAAGTCGTAAAAGTAACCCTAAAAGTATTACCAGTATCACCATGCCGCCGAAAAAAGACGCTCAGGACGAACAGGCTGAAGATGAAGAACTAGAAAGCGTACAAATTTCATTTAAAGATTTAGAGAAGTCCATGACAATTTTCACCGGCGATGATACGTATCCAGTGGACACATTTATTGATGAATTTGAAGACACCGCACAAATTATGAATTGAACAAAAGTAAAAAAGCTGATTTATGCGAAGAGACTTTTAGATGGAACTGCTAAACTATTTTTGAGGTCTTTCGGAAGAGTAAAGGATTATGCGACTTTAAAGAAGGCACTTAAAGAAGAATTTGGCCCTAAGATAAATAGTGCAGTGATCCATAAGAAACTTAGTTCGCGTAAAATGAAGAATGATGAAACGTTTCAACAGTATTTCCTTTCTATGAAAGAATTAGCACTACATGGTAAAGTTGAAGATGCGGCTCTCATAGAATATGTTATTGATGGTATTCGAGACTTGGATACTAATAAAGCTATCCTTTACGGTGCATCAGATATAAAAGATTTTCGTAAGAAGTTAGATATCTACAGCGAGTTTAGAAAGAAGATGGTTTCTAGACCCACACACTCTAACCATTCATCGACTAGCCATTTAGCTCGCAAGACAACTAATGCGAACCGATGTTACAATTGTGGTGAATTGGACCATAAATCTCCTGCCTGCACGAAAGGAATAAAGTGTTTCAAGTGCAATAAATTTGGACACAAATCTACGGATTGTCCGAGCAAAGCTAATAAGACTCTTAATATTAACGTTGAAGATAAAGAAGAAAAGGTGCCGTTTAAAAAAGTAAAGGTGAATGGAATAGAAATGATAGCATTGATAGATACCGGGAGTGACGCAAACTTAATTACCAAATCAGAATTTGAGAAAATCAAAAAAGAAATCAAGAACTATAACGGGGATTTTAAAACTTGTTTAACAGGAATAGCTGAGAAAAAGGTATACACTGAAGGAACCTTTACGATAAATGTAGAGATTGATTGTTACTTTACAGACATTATGTTTCATGTTGTTGGAGACAACGCGATACCCGTTAACCTGATAATTGGAAACCCAATATTGAAAGATTTTCAGGTAAATTTTACTCCTAATGGTATTTACTTGGAAAGGATTATGCATTTCACACTTTTGATAGAAGACGAAGGAGAGTTTAACATAGAGGATTCCGAATATAAAGATGAGATTATCAAACTGTGTCAAGAGTATAAGCCTAATGAAAAGACGAAAGAAAGTAATGTGGAGCTGAAACTAAGTCTTACAGATGAAACCCCTGTTTTTCAAAGCCCAAGACGCCTGTCTAGATTAGAAATGAATTTAGTTAATGACCAAATAAAATAATGAATGAATAAAGGAATAATAAAACCGAGCAAATCAAACTTCGCAAGTCCAATAGTATTGGCAAAGAAGAAGAATGGTACTTATCGTCTTTGCGTTGATTTTAGGCGACTGAATAAGAAGATTATCAAAGAGAGATTCCCTCTTCCACTAATAGAAGACCAGATTGACCGCTTGAAGCGGGCACGTTTTTTCACTTCGCTTGATCTAAAGAATGGTTTCTTACATGTTAGTGTAAATGAAGGAAGTCAGAAATACACTTCGTTTATCACTCCCCAAGGCCAGTTTGAGTTTTTGAAAATGCCTTTTGGACTGAGCTCGGCTCCCTCAGTATTTCAAAGATTCATCAATGACGTATTTCAAGACATTATTCAAGATGGCACAGCTCTAGCGTATCTCGATGATCTCATCATACCATCTATTACAGAAGGAGAAGGTATAATCAAACTAAAAAGGGTATTAAAAAGAGCTGAAGATTATGGCTTACAACTAAATTGGAAGAAATGTCAATTCTTGAAAAAAGAAGTTACTTATCTTGGCTATGTTGTTCGAGAAGGTGAAGTAGGACCATCTCAAGAGAAGATAGCTGCAGTAGCAAATTTTAAAAGACCACAGAACATAAAGTCTTTGCAATCATTCCTGGGTCTCACAGGTTACTTTAGAAAGTTCATTAAGAGTTACTCCCTTATAGCTAAGCCTTTAACAGATTTACTCAAAAAAGAAGCTGTTTATGACTTTGATGACAACTGTGAAAAGGCCTTTATTGAATTAAAGAAAATTTTGTGCCAAACACCTGTGTTGAGAATTTATGATCCTGAATTAGAGACCGAGGTCCATACAGACGCAAGTTGTGAAGGATATGGAGCTGTACTATTACAGAGAAACCCAAGAGATAATAAAATGCATCCAGTACAATACATGAGCAAGAAAACAACACCGGCAGAAAAGAAATATCATAGCTACCATTTGGAAATTCTAGCTATCGTTCAAGCCATTAAGAAGTTTAGAGTCTACTTACTTGGAATCAGTTTTAAGATTGTGACTGATTGCTCAGCTCTAACAATGACACTTCAAAAAAAGGAACTACCTCCAAGAGTCGCACGATGGGCCTTGATGTTAGAAGAATATAATTACACCATTGAGCACACCCGGGCATAAGGATGAAACACGCTGACGCATTAAGTAGATATCCGGCATGCTTGATCATCACCGAAACCGTAGCACGCATGAAGAAAGCACAAGACGAAGATACTCATATAAAATTAATTAAAAAGATTCTAGAGACAAGCGATTATGAAGACTATGTTATGCAGCAAGGAATACTTTATAAACAGAAAGAAGGTCAGAAATGTATCGTTGTACCTAAAAAGATGCAATTTGAGATAATTCGGAAAAATCACGAGAGAGGACATTTTGGGATTACTAAAACACAAGAATTGATTAGAAGAGAATATTTCATTGAGAATCTCCACGAAAAGATTAGAAAAGTAATTAATAACTGTGTTGAATGTATCCTCATTTCACACAAGCGAGGTAAAAAGGAAGGATTTCTACACCCAATTGACAAAGGAGACGTTCCGTTATCGACATACCATGTTGATCATCTTGGACCGTTATCATCAACGAGTAAAAACTACAAGTACATACTCACAGTTGTAGATGCCTACACGAAATTTACTTGGATTTACCCAGTTAAGACTTTAACTACTGAAGAAGTATTAGAAAAGTTAAGACTGCAACAACAAACTTTTGGCTCACCTGAAAGAATCATAACAGATAGAAATGCTGCATTTACATCTAATAATTTTCAAGAGTACTGTTCTGATGAAAATGTTATACACTATACGATAACAACTGGACAACCTCGAGGAAATGGACAGGTAGAAAGGGTCCATCAGATAATAATTGCCGCACTAAGCAAGCTTAGCGCTGATGATCCCACCAAATGGTATCGCCGAGTGTCGAGTTTACAGCGATGTTTAAATGGGACTTATCAAAGAAGTATCGGCATGACACCGTTTGAACTTCTTTTCGGAACTAAAATTAGAGATAAAGACGATGAACTACTTAAATTAATAGAAGAAGAAAATATACAGATTTTTAATCATAGACGGCAAGAACTTAGACAGCAGGCAAAAGAATCTATACAAAAGATTCAAGAAGAGAACGTAAGAAATTACAACAGGAAGAGAAAAGAAGCCGCTTCGTACGATATTGGTGACTTGGTAGCCATCAAAAAGACACAGTTCTCGCAAGGACGTAAATTATTTCCTAAGTTCCTTGGACCTTACGAAATAATCAAAAGGAAAGGAAACGACAGATACGCTGTAAAGAAAGTTGGAAACACAGAGGGTCCAATTAGTACAACCAGCTCAGCTGATTTGATGAAAACCTGGGTTGCACCGGAGGATGATTCATCTGAGGCAGATGAATGAACAGGACGGCCGTGTCGTTGCATATTTTTTAGTTTTTATTTTGTATCGCCTACTTTACTTACATATGTTTCTGAACGTAAACTAGCTGTCATCAAGGAGTTGTCAAAAAGAAGGTGAGAAGAAAAAAGATCGTTAAAAGTGCTCCTAAGATATAATTAAAAATATAAGTTTAAATCCGCTTCGAATCATTTGTAACCATCCCCACAAATATATTAATGTGTTGTATTGTCGTATAAAGTACATTCTAATGGATATTTTATAAAAAAAATTGTTCTTGTGAAATTTTAAATGTACCTATCAGGAAGTTCTAAATAAATTAAACCAAATTGTATGTTAAAGTTTGTATTTCAAGTAACAAAGGTTAAATATGTAAAATAATAACAATTTTATTTCAATATAATTTTAAGTTGGCTAAATTCATACATGCTTATTCTGTTAAAAGTTTTAAAAGTTATTCTGTAATAATTTTGTCGAAGACATTTTGTTGTTAAAAAAAAAAAATTGAATTTTTTTGTAAAAGGGGAGGATTGATGTGG